CACATGCTGCCGAGTGGCTGGGCCCGTGAGCCATGGCCGCTGAGCCTGCGCGTCCGGAGCCTGATCTCCGCAATGGGAGAGGCCACAACAGTGAGAGGCCCACGTACTGCAAAAAAAAAAAAGAATTGGCCATACGTTTGTGTTTAAAACATGTAGCCGGAATTAAAACATGGTTTTCATTACCTGACACATGTATGTTCTTGACTAACCTGTACTGTGAACTGGCAAAATAGGAGTCTCCATGTTGAAGTCCTTTGATCCATGATCAAATCTTTAAAAACTTTTTTATATTCTTTAAAAAAATGGAGCTGAAATCCATATAACATAAAATTAACCATTTTAAAGTGAACAATTCAGTGACATTCAGTGTTGTAAAAACCATCACCTCTGTCTAGTTTTTTTTTTAATATATAAATTTATTTTATTTATTTTTGGCTGCGTTGGGTCTTTGTTGCTTCACGTGGGCTTTCTCTAGTTGCGGCGAGCGGGGGCTACTCTTCGTTGCAGTGTGTGGGCTTCTCATTGCGGTGGCTTCTCTTGCTGTGGAGCATGGGCTCTAGGCCCATGGGCTTCAGTAGTTGTGGCACATGGGCTCAGTAGTTGTGGCTCACGGGCTCTAGAGCGCAGGCTCCATAATTGTGGCGCATGGGCTTAGTTGCTCCGCGGCATGTGGGATCTTCCTGGACCAGGGCTCGAACCCGTGTCCCCTGCGTTGGCAGGCGGATTCTTAGCCACTGCGCCACCAGGGAAGTCCCCACCTCTGTCTAGTTTAAAAATATTTTCATCACCCCAAAAGGAAACCTGTACCCATTAAGCAGTTACTTCCCATTCCCCTTTCCTTCCAGCTTCTGGCAACCACCAATCTGCTTTCTGCCTCTCTGGATTTACCTATTCTGAATATTTCTTGTAAGTGGAATGGTATAACATGTGACCTTTTGTGACTGGCTTATTTCACCATGGTCAAATTTAACTAGCAATTTTAAGACCCAGATTATCATCTGTGTTAAACCACAGTCAGTACTGTTGCCCGACTGTTTTTTGGTAAAATCTTTTCTTATTTTAAAAATTGTGGTAATAATTTTACCACAGTTACTTCTCTTTTTAACTTAGGGTGTGGCAGTTTTATTCACTCATACACTGATAACTTTCCTACTTAATTAGAATTATTCCTTTGAACACTTGATAAGGTTATGTTTCTGAACATGGAGATACCATTGGAAAATATGAAACCATAATTTCATTCCTTGGGAGGTTTACTTCTCTTTCACTAACAGATATGAACCATGCAGGACTTGAGAAATCAAGCACTAATAGTCACCTGTTTGCTAACCATAAACAAATGACTTTGGGCCTAGTAGAATTCTAAGTCCAGGATCAATAGTAGCCAGTAAATCTGGATGTGATATGCACTTTGAGTAAGACCAGAGTAGAATGAACAAGAAGGGGTTGCATGTGTGTGTGTGTGTGTGTGGAGACTGGGTACAGCCATACTGAGAAGCTTAAATTTAGGGAACATCTTATTATTATATCTGTGATTTTTCTGGTTCATTATTCCAAAAACATCCATCACTTTGCAGATGTCTCTAGCATTGCTATTAAGTTTATAATGTTATCCGTGGTCTGAATGCATGGAAAGCTTTTTTCCACTATGGGAAAACTATGGTCAACTTCTTATTTGGGGCCCCTTTAATAATATCATGAGGTGTATATTAAGCATTTAATTGCTTTTGGTATTTGACTCTGTAAGCTTTATAAACTTAAAACAAACATACTATAAAAGTTAAGATATTTTGAAAAACCATGACCAGATTTTGCATTATGCATCCATGGGGGTGATTTCATGACTGATGTCACTGTCATGAGAAGTGCCTTACAGCCTAATGCATGTATTGTATACTTGTAAATTTAAGAGTTGGTTCTAGAACTAGGTGATCAGGTGTATGTACTACTTCATTGCTCACTTGCAGTTTGGGTCATCTTAATAAGTGACAGGAGAGCCCACCATACCAGTCATCTCAGTCTTTTCCTGCCTTAAAATATTTGTACATCATCACTTACTCTGTTTACTTTTTCTTTCTTTTCTTTTTTTTTTTTTTTTTTTGCGGTACGCGGGCTTCTCACTGCTGTGGCCTCTCCCGTTGCGGAGCACAGGCTCTGGACGCGCTGGCTGAGCGGCCATGGCTCACGGGCCCAGCCGCTCCGTGGCATGTGGGATCCTCCCAGACCGAGGCACGAACCTGTGTCCCCTGCATCGGCAGGCAGACTCTCAACCACTGCACCACCAGGGAAGCCCTCGGTTTACTTTTTCTGAGTGATTTTCAACAGGGGCTGTCTGAGGAAGGGCAAGATGACACTTACATAACTTGGAAAAGCCCAGTTGAGTCTGATATGTTAGATAGTAGTTATCTATTTCATAGGGTCTTCAGGGAAATTAAATGAGATAGCAGTTAGCACATAAGGGCTCAATAAAAATTAACTGGAGTTAGGGTAATTTGCCACCAACTTCACCCCTATCTCCAGCACTGTATGGATTGGTGAGTGCTTCTTATCCTTGTCTAGCCCATAATAGACACTCAGTGCATGTTAGCTGATAGAATTGAATTGATACTCAGTCATGTTTGGAGGTGGAGACTCATATTTGTTGAATATCTACTAGGTGCCACAAGTTATTTAATTGATACTATACAAATGTATTCTCTCATTTAATCTTGTCTGGCAGATGGCATGCCATTTCCATGATTCCAGTGAAATAATTGTATCTCATAATTTATAAATGACAAGCCAGGATTTAAAGCCAGGAGTCAGCTCAGTTCTGCCCTCTTGCTACTACCCTGTGCCACCTCCTCCATCCCTAGGGTGGTATGTGAACTTGATTCATTTATAGCACTGCCTGGCTTTCTCTGAAAATTGAGTAGTTTTTCCTTATCTTACCTATAAACTTTTTAAATAGGAAAACAAAATAAGTATATTACGTCTGAAGTACAATTCCTGTTACCTTCCAAACCGAGTTCAAAGGATTTTTTTCCCCCCAGTTTCTGTTAAAATACCCTGCTTAACCACATAAGTTGGGGTCATCTTAGACTTTGCATACTTCCTTTCTTCCTACTCCTGTCAGATATTGCTCCCATTATCTTTGCACTTAACACCTCCTCTAACTGTACTGCTTACTTGTCCTGATGGCATACTTTTTATAAGTAGTGTTTTTGGTCTTTCTGCCTTGTAGTCTTTACCTCTCTGGTTCATCTATGCACTACCATAGAATGATCCTCCTAAGTAACACTTGGCTGGTATGTCACTTCTTTCCTCAAAAAATTGGTTGCCCTTTACCTTTCAGGGATAGGAATTACATTTTTTTTTTCCTTCTTTTTTGGCCATGCCGTGCTGGCTTGCAAAATCCCAGTTCCCTGACCAGGGATTGAACCCAGGGCCATGGCAGTGAAAGCCTGGAATCCTAACTACTAGACCACCAGGGAACTCCCAGGAATTACTTTCTTCAGCACTTCATGTTATTGAAGATTGGGCCCAAAATTTTGTTGACTTATGGGTGTTAATACTTTCTGGGCATTGATTTTATTTTTTTCACACAAATCAACAATGTATTTCAGTTATTTTAGATCTAATAAAATTGCAGCTGTAGAATTCCAGATTCTATTCCATAATACAATATTAGTGTTGATTTTATTTTTTAAAATTTTTAATTTTTTTGTTAGTTTCTGCTTTATAACAAAGTGAATCAGCTGTACGTATACATTTATCCCCATATCTCCTCCCTCTTGCATCTCCCTCCCACCCTCCCTATCCCACCCCTCTAGGTGGTCACAAAGCACCGAGCTGATCTCCCTGTGCTATGCGGCTGCTTCCCACTAGCTATAAGTTTTACATTTGGTAGAGTATATATGTCCATGCCACTCTCTCACTTAGTCCCAGCTTACCCTTCCCCGCCCCCGTGTCCTCTGAGCAATGATTTTAAATGTGAGTTTTGCAGGTTATTCTTTATTGGTGTGCAGGATTCATGTGACTTCAAATTCTTTGATGTCTTTGTGCATCTTGTGTTTTTTTTGGCGGTACGCAGGCCTCTCACTGTTGTGGCCTCTCCCTTTGCGGAGCACAGGCTCCAGACGCGCAGGCTCAGCGGCCATGGTTCACGGGCCCAGCCGCTCCGCAGCATGTGGGATCTTCCCGGACCGGGGCATGAACCCGCGTCCCCTGCATCGGCAGGTGGACTCTCAACCACTGCGCCACCAGGGAAGCCCTTGTGTATTCTTTAAAGCAAGAGTACTTAGATATTGGAGTATCATTTAGGTTTATCAGATATAAAAAATAAACTTATGTATTGGGGTATTAGAGTATATTTCACATACATCTCTTCCAGTGATGTCATAAGATTTGCAGTATGACACTTGTGGAAACTGGATTGTTGCTTGACCTTAGAATTCTAATATATGACAAAACTGGCATCATTGTAGTCACTTTTTATGAGATGATGTAAGGGCTTATATGCATTTCAGAGACTATATGAATGTCCTTTTAATTTTATTGGTATTGAATAGAATTTATTCAAGGTTCTTGATAATACATATGATTATAGAATCTTAAAAAGGACTGATCATTGCCTTCTTGGGCTAGAGCTACCAAGGGAGAATCTAGAGAAGTAATGTGTATTTGTTGAGCAGAATCTTACTTATTTGATCTGTGCTGGGCTGTAGATTACTTTTATAATATCTGTAAAGGAAAAGTTTATGAAGCAAATTCAGAGAATAAACATGGTTTTGTGAATACATTTTAGTTACTGAAAATGTTTTAAAATTGGCTGTGATGGGTAGATTTTTTAATAAGTTAAACAGAGGCTTCTAATTTGAAAGCCTAAATTAGTTGCCATTGTTCTGAATTATTGAGGTTTTTGTTTTGTTATTGAACTTCTATTTTTCCTGTATTTTAAAAGATAAGTAAAATGGATGTATAGGTCTCAATTTTTAATAGAAGCTATTTCTATTAAACAGCACCTGTGGAACCTTCTCAAGAGGAACAGTCATTGTTGTGTGAAGGTAATTTTCTATGATGTGACTCTTTGAACATCTAATTCAGAAAACATTAAGTTGTCTGTGGTGTGTAAAGCTAGATACTATTTTGTAAATATATATTATATCTCAATTTCTTGTCTAGGTTCAAATTCAGCTGTTAGCATGGAACTTTCAGAACCTGTTGGTAAGAAAATTTCTGACCATATTAATACAGTAATATGAAACTCTTTCACTCTCAAGATTTAAGGTACAAATGTAAGTGTTATGCTTATTATAATGCCTACATTTAAAACTGAATCTTTGCTGTTAGGATTTAGAAAACAGAACTAATTGGGCATTAATACTGCCATGATAAATTTATTTATTTATTTTTTTTTGCGGTACGCGGGCCTCTCACTGTTGCGGCCTCTCCCATTGCGGAGCACAGGCTCCGGACGCGCAGGCTCAGCGGCCATGGCTCACGGGCCCAGCCCCTACTGGGGCATGTGGGATCTTCCCGGACCGGGACACGAACCCGTGTCCCCTGCATCGGCAGGCGGACTCTCAACCACTGCGCCACCAGGGAAGCCCCATGATAAATTTATTGATAGCAAATATAAAAGAATTGAATGGAGGAAATGCAAAAGTCAGTTTGAATAATTGTACTTGATCCATTTACTTTGTGAAAATTTTCTTCTTTTTTGTAATGTTCTTACCCTTAAGGGTTTCATATTCCCAAGGTGATTAATAACGTCGATATCAAAGTTCTGTTACTTGCAGAGGAGAAAGAAAAGATCTAAATCTTTTCACACTTTTTTGTATTCTGATTTGGAACTTCCCCTTTCTTCTACTGTCAGGACATCTTGACGATGGAATAACTGGGCTGTTAGGAATGTTGGATCTGCTGTTCATGTTTTGTTTGTCCTTATGAAGATGCTACGTTAAAATAGTCTCTTCTAGTCTCTGAGTCAGAGCTCTGATGTCAGCAGTGAGGAGGCTAGCTTGTCCATTTCTGTTGTGAAAGAGATTTTCTTGCTTGTGTGTCACTAGAGGTTAGGAAATGGAACTGAATATGTTAAGTTCTATTTGTTATTTGAAAGCATCTGTGTTTTAAAGTACAGATGATAAACGTTTTTCGGAATACTAAGCTAAAATGTCTTATTTCAGTAGAAAACGGGGAGACAGAAATGTCCCCAGAAGAATCATGGGAGCACAAAGAAGAAATAAGTGAAGCAGAGCCGGGGGGTGGTTCTTTGGGAGATGGAAGGCCCACAGAGGAAAGTGCCCAGGAAATGATGGAGGAGGAAGAGGAAATACCAAAACCTAAATCTGTGGTTGCACCACCAGGTGCTCCTAAGAAAGAACACGTAAATGTAGTATTCATTGGGCATGTAGGTAAGTTGTACTCATAGCAGTGATAAGAAATGACCAAAGTTATTGGGTACATCAAACATAGAACATCTTATTTAGCTACTTGGAAGTGTTTCGTGAAACTGAACTAAATTAATCTAAAATGTCTTGATTTTTTTTTTTTTTTTTTTTTTTTGGTGTTACGCGGGCCTCTCACTGTTGCGGCCTCTCCTGTTGCGGAGCACAGGCTCCAGATGCACAGGCTCAGCGGCCATGGCTCACGGGCCCAGCTGCTCCGTGGCATGTGGGATCTTCCCGGACCGGGGCACGAACCCGAGTCCCCTGCATCGGGAGGCAGACTCTCAACCACGACGCCACCAAGGGAAGCCCTAAAATGTCTTGATTTTTAACTCATAGATTTTTTTTTTTTTTTTGCGGTACGCGGGCCTCTCACTGCGGTGGCCTCTCCCGTTGCGGAGCACAGGCTCTGGATGCGCAGGCTCAGCGGCCATGGCTCACGGGCCCAGCCGCTCCGCGGCATGTGGGATCTTCCCGGACCGGGGCACGAACCTGTGTCCCCTGCATCGGCAGGCGGACTCTCAACCACTGCGCCACCAGGGAAGCCCTCAATAGATTTTTTTTTTAGCTGGCAAGACATTGCCAGTGCTTTATTTTTGAAGGTTGTGATGGCATGGAAGCTGGAAGAAAATAAGCTTCAGTATATTTGTATGTAATGAGTAACTGGTCTATAGACCACTGATGATGGCTCAACATATTACGACATCTGTTAATTAATATAGAAAATGTACCTATATTTTTTGTGTGAACTTCAGTTGATTTTGCGGTATTAACTTTACTAGGTAGTTTAATTTTGTGTGTGCAAAAAATGAATAATTTGGAGTAACTTCTGGATGTTGTCAGCTTGTTGGTTTAGCACACAAAACAAAACCCTATTTCATTTATTCAGATATTCTCTGCCAATCTCACTTGCCAGAGAGAAGTGAGAAGAAAATAAGGGAATTATGTGCCCCTTTTTCTTCCCTTTATCTTATCTCTGCCTTGACCTGACGATACACCGTTCTACTTTTTTTTAGTAGCAAGAACTCCTTTGAAATTTGTAAAGGAACATCTATACTGGCTAAAAGCAGACTACCTAAATGTAGTTCATGGGTCTTTGGCTACTTTTTTTCTCCTTCGAGGCTCCTCTTGGGTAATTCATATTCTGTTGCTGCTGCAGAAGGTCAAGGAGCAATCTGTTAAAGTCTTTCTTTCTTTATCAGTAAAGTAGCGCTAAGTCACTGTAGAGCTGCAGGGGGTCTTAGCTTCAAAGGGAGAAGGTGACTAACCAGAGCTTATGACCCAAATTCCTATCATTGCAGTTGCTTTTTCAAGCTGTAATTATGATGTTAAACCACTTTAGTTGTATTCCTATATAGTGATGGTGTTTTGTTTTGTTTTTATTACACCTGTGGTTTGCCTATTGTTGATGATGTTGTTACTTTTTAGATGCTGGCAAGTCAACCATTGGAGGACAAATAATGTAAGTATATTTTTTGTTAAATATCTTAAGACTCATGGAACATTAATTAAATGTATTTCTAATAGCTGTCTTTTAGATTTGTGTATAAAAATATAGAACCCTAGATTATAAGAAATCTTAGTCTGCTTTAAATATGATTTTCTTGGGAATAATGAATCTGGGGAACTGGTTTTTCCTCATTCATCAACTCCTTGAATATATGTGGATTTAATCAGACAGTCTGGCTAACATGCTGAATAGTTTTTTTTATCACACATACAGAAGGTATCTAGGTATGACAATGCCATGGTTGACTTTCAGTGATGTGTTCTAGAATTGAAAAATAATTAAAATGTCTTTTTAATCTCTCCTAAATTAGACTCATTTCTTTAAACTGTGTCATCAGAGGATCCAGAGGGCATATCTTCATTGTCTTCTTGCCTTGTTAAGTAATCTTAATCAGTAATCTTGCCAATTACTTTCGAAAATTTCCACAACAGACCCTAAAGCAGGCCATTACACAGGAATCCTTATTACCTAAGGCTCTGTGGAAGGAAGTGACAGGCCCAGTTGATGTTGTGTTTTAGGAGAGTGTATATTTTTTGCTTATGGGCTGGAATTTTCATTGGCATTTCACCAAGATTCTATACCAAAATGGTTAGAAGTATGCACTGTAGATGACTCTGCAGAGAACAACACATAGAGACTAAAGCTAAGAACAGGATTTGATTTGGATTGGGTCAAGGGAAGCAGTTAGGTATTACTAAAGAATTATTTAAAAATTTATAATCTCATTTTGACTAATATTTTTAAAATATTAAATATTGAAATGTATTAGTAAGACATAATTGCTTGGACAACAGTTGGAATTATTTTATACAGTATTTACATTTGCTTTTTTAAACTTTTATTCTGAAATAATTTTAGACTTAACAGAAAGGTTGCAAAAACAGTACAGAGTTGCTATACAACTAATTTTACCATATTAAATAACCATAGTACAATCATCACAACTAGGGAGTTAACACTGGCACAATACTGTTTACTAAACTACAGATCTTACTTGAATTTTACCAGTTTTTCCACCAGTGTCATTTTTTTCTGTTCTGGAGTTCCACATTGCATTTAATTGTTACGTCTCCTTAGTCTCCTCCAACTTGTGACATTTTCTCAGTCTTGTCTTTCATGACCTTCATAATTTGAAGAGTGTTATTTGGTTATTTTATGAGATGTTCCTCAATTTGGGTTTGACTGATGTTAACAATTAGATAGAGGGTATGCATTTTGGATAAGAATGTCACAGAAGGTATGTTGTGCTCTTAACAGAGCATCCTATCAGGGCGCACAAAATAGCAATATTCAGTATGTTTTATTTATTACTGGTAATAATAGCCATGACTACTTAGTTAAGGTGTTGTCTGCCAGAATTCTCCACTGGAAAGTTATTTTTTTCCCCATTATCTTGGGGGAAGTAATTTGAGACTGTAAATATCTTTTCCACTGAAACGTTAATTCAGCATCTATCCCAGTGGTACTTGTACTTTAAAGTAGCTTTTTGTGGAGTTCAAATTCCACTCAAAAGAGGTTTAAAGGCTTCCTCACTTCACAACTGAATAATTTGCGAGTAACTAAATGTTCTCTTTTCTTTCAACATTTTCAGGTATTTGACTGGAATGGTTGACAAGAGGACACTTGAGAAATATGAAAGAGAAGCTAAAGAAAAAAACAGAGAAACTTGGTAAACTTTTATGACACTATAAATTACTTTTAAGGAAACTCTGCCTACTTAATGCTTTTGTAGTCTACTAAGATGTAAGTTCATGAGGTCTAAAATGGTGTCATAACAAAGGAAAAGTTTCCCTTCCCCTCATACTACCTAGTAGATCAGTTCCTGATGACTTCATAACTTTACCCAGAGAAAATCTGGAAATATCCAAACATCCAGGATAATAATAGGAGGCTTGTGGGATAAATTATAAAATATCTATTTAATTAAGTCATTATCTGGCCACTAAAATTTCATTTATAGAATTTATAGGAACCAGGAATAGAACTGATGTTACAGTGGAATTTGGGGAGAAAGCAGGTAACATAATAGTACTTTAGGGTATGATCATTATGTGAATAATGAAAAAAGAATAGATGGAATTATTGACAGTGGTTGCCTTTGCATGGTGAGAGAAAGGGTCAGCTTTTTTCTTCTTTCTAACCTTATTTAAGTTAACAAGCTTTATCTAAATAGGACATTGATGGTCTTTTTTTTTTTTTAATTGTATTTCTGTGTTAAGGGAAAAAATCCTAATCAGTATAATACTAAAAAATGGATTACTTACTATGAAATACAGATGATGTCATCTAAATTAACACCTACTGTTAGAGATGGTTTAAATTTATATAAGTAATTCTTATATAGCGAAGAAATATCAAAATAATTTTTAGCAAGTAACCATTGCTCCCAAATGGTGGATTAGTGGCCTTTACTTTTGAAAGATACCCTTAGACAGCCTTATTTGTATTATACTTTGTGCTAGATGATTTTTAAAATGAAATATAAAGGAACTTATTACTTAACTCATGGTGATATTGGCATTGGTACTAAATAATCTTTCTTTGTTGTCAGCTTGTTCTCATACATAATGTTTGCTTATAGAATATATAATTGACACTGGATATATATAAAAGCACTGAGTGTTTGAGTCACAAGAATACAAGTTTTAGTCATTTAATTTTTATTTCTACCCAGTCTTGTTCATGATTTAAATGTTGGTAGAAGAATGTTTTTAAAACTTTCATGTACTTACCAGTATTATTCTTATTTTAAAATTATTTCAGGTACTTATCTTGGGCCTTAGACACAAATCAGGAAGAACGAGACAAGGGTAAAACAGTAGAAGTGGGTCGTGCCTATTTTGAAACGGAAAAGAAGCATTTTACAATTCTAGATGCCCCTGGCCACAAGAGTTTTGTCCCAAATATGATTGGTGGTGCTTCTCAAGCAGATTTGGCTGTACTGGTAAGGGAAGACATTTCCAATTCATCTGTGTATTTGTTAACAGCCCAACTTAATATGTAAATTTTTCTGTTTTGGCTGCGTTGGGCCTTCGTTGCTGCACGCAGGCTTTCTCTAGTTGCGGTGCGTGGGCTTCTCATTGCGGTGGCTTCTCTTGTTGAGGAGCACGGGCTCTAGGTACATTGGCTCAGTAGTTGTGGCTCGCGGGCTCTAGAGAGCAGGCTCAGTAGTTGTGGCACACAGGCTTACTTGCTCCGTGGCATGTGGGATCTTCCCGGACCAGGGCTTGAACCTGTGTCCCCTGCATTGGCAGGCGGATTCTTAACCACTGCGCCACCAGGGAAATCCTAAAATGTAAACATTTGAATTTACCTTCTAAAAGCTAGAATTTAGGTTACAGTGAACTATAATATATACATAGTCACAATTTTCACTTTTGTGTCTCTAATCTGCCCAATAAATCTTCATAATTTGATTTACTCATGAAAATGTTCCAGTTTTTCTCTGCCCTTTATTACCTCTTACTGTGCCAGAAATTAGTGTCCACTGACTGCCAAGCCTAATCCATTTTGTAGTCAATAAATGTACTGTGGGTACAAAAATGAATAAGAAATTATCCGTTTTAAGGTCTTCAGTCATTTTGCAATTTTTTTTTGGCGGGGGGTGGTCAGTGTACTAGCACTAAATCACATACATAGAATTTTAAAATATAAAGGCGTACTAGATTTTGGAAAATTGGGAATCAAGAAACATTTACCAAAATCTTAAAGCATTTAGACATTGTGATGTTCAAAAGTATGTATGTTATAACTAATTTACTTATATTTTCTTGGAAGAAGCTTCTAATAAAACTGAAAGGAAAGATGTTTTATTGCTAGAAGAGTGTACCTGAATGTGTAAGAATAAACTGTTTAATTTCTTGGAATAGGTAATCTCTGCCAGGAAAGGAGAGTTCGAAACTGGATTTGAAAAAGGAGGACAGACGAGAGAACATGCAATGTTGGCAAAGACAGCAGGTGTAAAACACTTAATTGTGCTTATTAATAAGATGGATGATCCAACAGTAAATTGGAGCAATGAGAGGTAAGTTTGGATGTCTTACTGTTTTTTTTTTTTAATAGACATGTTAGTGGAATAAAGGATGGTTTTGTTACTGTATGCTTTTTTTCCCCTGGGGTTTTTCTAAACCTTAATTTGTGTAGTGTTGAAACTAGAGTTCAGTTGCTTTACATTATAATTGAGTTATTTATAAATATTAATAGATATGAAGAATGTAAAGAGAAACTAGTGCCGTTTTTGAAAAAAGTTGGCTTCAATCCCAAAAAGGACATTCACTTCATGCCCTGCTCAGGACTGACTGGAGCAAATCTTAAAGAGCAATCAGATTTTTGTCCTTGGTACATGTAAGTAACCTTTTTAAAAGTTTGTGTCTTAGTAATTTAAGAAAATATTGACTGTAACCTTGGCGTTAAAAATACCATGACCTTTGTCTTTTAATTGGGTTGTCTTTTTGTTATTGAGTTGTTAAGGGTACTTTACTCACCTGATACAAGTCCCTTATCAGATATGCGATTTACAAGTATTTTCTCCCATTCTGTGGGCTGTCTTTTTACTTTCTTGATGGTGTCCTTTGAAGCACAAAAGGTCTTAATTTTGATGAAGTCTAGTTTATTTTTTTTCTTAATTGTGCTTTTGGTGTCATGCCTAGGGAAGTGTTGCCTAATCCGGTCATAAAGAGTTAGCCCTGTTATTTTCATTTAAGCCTATTGAAGCTCTTAGGGGAGTGTTTCATTTTGGATTAATTTTTTGTAAGGTAAAGTCTTGATTACTTTAGCTTCATGAGTGTTTAAATTGGGAAGTGTGAGTCTTTGAATTTTGTTATTTTTTTCCCCAAAATTATTTTGGCTGTTCTGGGTCCCTTGAATTTCCATATGAATATTAGGATCAGCTCATCAATTTCTGCCAAAAGGCAGCTGGGATTTTACTAAGGATTTCATTGAATTTGTAGATTGGTTTGGGGGGAGCATTGCGATCTTGGCAATATTAAGCCTCCCAATCCATATACTGTAGTTTTAAAGGGGAAACTATTAATATTTTATAGAATCCTGATTTCAGAGCTGGAAAACTCCATAAAAATTAAGTAATAGAGTGGAGTCATTTTATTACATGTGGGTTATTTGCCATAAAATAGTTTTCTCAATTTTAATAAAATAAGTTTATGGGGAAGCTTTTTCATTATATTGAGCTATTTTGTTATTTTTTTAAATTTTTCTGAGGAATAAGTGAAATGAACTGGATAATAAAAAGGTTGAATGAGAAGACTACATGGGTAGAATGGAAATATTGTTATAACCACTTTTTTTTGTATAAAGTTAGAGTCATGTAATTTCTTAAAACTTTAACATTTATGTTGACTCTCTTTAATGGATATTGTTATGTTCTCAGTGGATTACCATTTATTCCATATCTGGATAATTTGCCAAACTTCAGTAGATCAGTTGATGGACCAATCAGGCTGCCAATTGTGGATAAGTACAAGGTACCCAAAATGTTCAAGAACTTGGGTTTTATGGGAGGTGATAAATTGTTTTGTTTTAAATTATGAAATAACTTTAATAATTAACAACATAACATAGATGTCTCTTTTTTAATGGTTATATATTATTCAGTGATATAGATAGACCATAATTTAATCAACAAACTTAGTTTATTTCAGCTATTTTCCAGTGAGCCAATGATCAGTTTTAGAGAGAGACTCCTATAAGTAAAACTGCTGGAAGGGTTTGTGTATTAACGTTGATGGATACTGACAAACAGCCTTCCAGAATACAGTGCTAACTTACATGACCACCAGCAAGCAGTATATGAGTGCTAGTTTTCCCATAGCCTCACGAACCAACTGGATGTTAATCTTTAAAAAAATAAGCTTCACTATTTTTAACTAGGTTTTTAAGTATTGCACTATCAATATGTAATATTTTGCCCTTCTCAAACACTTCATTCTTTGATTAGCTTCATGTTAAATTTCTTGAACAAGTATTTTTCCAATTTTATAAAAGAGAGAAAAGTCTCAGATATTTTTGAGAGAACCTGAATTTGAACAAATAATTCAGATCTTCAAACAAAATTCTGCCCTGTCTCCTGCAGTGTGCTTTCTTTTTAAATCCTAAGCCTCCTTTTTTTCAGTATTATAATTATACATATGCTTATGACACAGATATAGAGTATTTACCTGTGTTTGAGATTAATCCTAAGCATTCTACCACTTGAGCTAAAGATTTTATGAGTAAGCCCTGCAAGATTTTACTTTGGGTTGTTGAACTGCTGTAGAGTAGTAATAGAAGTCTGACATTTGGTTTTTCATTTTAAATTTAAACAGGATATGGGCACTGTGGTCCTGGGAAAGCTAGAATCAGGATCTATTTGTAAAGGTCAGCAGCTTGTTATGATGCCAAACAAGGTAAGAATTAGTAATGCTCTTGCTCATTTAAATTTTCTCTTGAAAATATTAGCAAGGAGCCAGAACTTTTCAGTCTTAGGGATTTCATTAAAAGAAACAACTTTTTAAATCCAGGATTATGTTTTATTAATGTCAAGTACAAAATTTAATCAAGAATATGTGATGTTATTTATTGACAAATGGAGAAGGGACAGTATTAGCTCCATGTTAGAGTTAAAAGGTGCACCATCTGGCTTCCCTGGTGGCACAGTGGTTGAGAGTCCGCCTGCCGATGCAGGGGACCACGGGTTCGTGCCCCGGTCTGGGAAGATCCCACATGCCGCGGAGTGGCTGGGCCCGTGAGCCACGGCCGCTAAGCCTGCGCGTCCGGAGCCTGTGCTCTGCAACGGGAGAGGCCACAGCAGTGAGAGGCCTGCGTACCGCAAAGAAAAAAAAAAAGGTTCATCATCATGAAAGCTTCAACTCCGTTTTTGTTTATTTATTTATTTATTCTTGAATGCATTGGGTCTTCGTTGCTGCGTGCAGGGGCTACTCTTAGTTGCAGTGAGCAGGCTTCTTATTGCAGTGGCTTCTCTTGTTGTGGAGCACGGGCTCTAGGCACACGGGCTTCAGTAGTTGTGGCACGTGGGCTCAGTAGTTGCGGTGCGCGGGCTCTAGAGCACATGCTCAGTAGTTGTGGCACACAGGCTTAGTTGCTCCGCGGCATGTGGGATCTTCCTTGACCAGGGCTTGAACCCGTGTCCCCTGCATTGGCAGGCGGATTCTTAACCACTGTGCCACCAGGGAAGCCCAACTCCATTATTTTACAGGAAGTAAATAGAAATCTGAAGTGATTAAGTGACTTGCTTCTGTTAACACACTGGATTAGTAAGTGAGCCAGGGATGAAAACTCAGCTTTAATCATGATATAATTAGCTTCCTTTTATTTTTTGTACATCGTTATATTGGGTACTATAAAATAATGTGTCTAACCTATGTTCCTGATTTATTTTGGGAGAAGAGGATTTGCCTTTATCATAAATGGGTCTGTTCCTAACTCTTTCTTTCTACCTTATTGTAATTTCTTCATTATTGGAGAGGGTTTCATTAAGTAACATGCAAAAATCTCAAGCTATTCCTTTGTGTTATTTCTGACTGCTCAGTTGCTGATAATTGCACATGACGTGTTACTAAGAAACTGTTACCTGTTTTCCAGAGGACTTCTCTAACAATCTAGAGGTATTAGTTATGTAGGAAAACAGGCCTGAATCATCAGAACTTCCAAATAGAGACTTTGTTAAGATTTAACTGAGAATTTCTTTCTTTCTTTTTTTTTTTTCATAAATTTATTTATTTTTGGCTGTGTTGGGTCTTTGCTGCTGCGCACAGGCTTTCTCTAGTTGTGGCGAGCGGGGGCTACTCTTTGTTGCGGTGTGCAGGCTTCTCATTATGGTGGCTTCTTTTGTTGTGGAGCACGGACTCCAGCCACATGGGCTTCAGTATTTGTGGCTCGTGGGCTCTAGAGCGCAGGCTGAATAGTTGTGGCACATGGGCTTAGTTGCTCTGCGGCATGTGGGATCTTCCTGGACCAGGGCTTGAACCTGCATTGGCAGGCGGATTCTTAACCACTGTGCCACCAGGGAGGTCCCCTGAGAATTTCTTTACCATGCTTATTCCAGGCACAGTGAATTACAAAAGGTAATTGTCAATGTACTGTTTAGGTATAATTGGGGTTTCTTTTTTTTTTTTGCTGTACGCGGGCCTCTCACTGCTGTGGCCTCTCCCGTTGTGGAGCACAGGCTCCGGACGCACAGGCTCAGCGGCCACGGCTTACGGGCCCAGCCACTCCGTGGCATGTGGGGTCTTCCCAGACTGGGGCACGAACCCGTGTCCCCCGCATCGGCAGGTGGACTCCCAACCACTGCGCCACCAGGGAAGCCCTACTTTGGGGTTTCTTGATGCCTTGGAGATCAGAGTATCCTATCATAGAATCTTTTTTCTAAGGTAATTACCTCTGCAACTTGAAGGTCAATGATAAATGAATGGAAATAATGGTCAGTTTGAATCCTTGCTCTATTTTGTTCAGCAGTCACAGAAGTTGAGTTTGCTTGTGGAGATGGAAGCAAGGGGCTTGGGGAAGAAGAATGGGGAGTGATTGCTTAATGCGTATAGAGTTTTCTTTTGGGGTGATGAAGGTGTTTTGGAGCCAGATACTGGTGATGGTTGTACACCATTGTGAACGTAGATGCCACTGAATTGTACAATGTAAAATGGTTTAAAAAGGTAAATTTTATGAGTATTTTATCACAATAAAGAAAAGAAAAGTACTTATTATGGGCAAGTGAACCTAGAGCTGGGCTATAGCTAAAGGTAAAGGGTCTTAATATACTAGTTCTTGTAGAAGCTGTCCCTTTATACTAATGACTAAGCAGGTCAATGTAGCATATCTTACAGTTGTTAATCAAGCCTTAAAAACTCTGTTCACTGAGTTCACTAGTCCCCTGAGTCTCAGTGGAATAGAATGAAATGTTTTAAAAGATGTAGATGCCAGGCTATTTTACATTTAAAAATTAATAGGTAGGCACCCTACAGAATGTGGGTAAAAAATTGTATATCATAAATCTGATATGGGGTTACTATCCATAATATATCAAGAACTCCTACAACTCAACAACAAAAAGAAAACAAGCTGGGCTTCCCTGGTGGCGCAGTGGTTGAGAGTCTGCCTGCCGATGCCAGAGACACGGGTTCGTGCCCCGGTCTGGGAAGATCCCACATGCCGCGGAGCAGGCTAGGCCCATGAGCCATGGCCGCTGGGCCTGCGCGTCCGGAGCCTGTGCTCCGCAAAGGGAGAGGCCACAACAGTGAGAGGCCCATGTACCGCAAAAAAAAAAAACAAAAAAAAAAACAAACTGACTAAAAACTGAGCGAAGAACTTAAATAGACGTTTCTACAAAGATGTACAGTGGCCAAAACGCACATGAAAAGATACTTAACGTCACTAATCATTAGGAAAATGCAAATCAAAGCCACAGTGAGACCTCACACCCATCTGGATGGCTACTATCAAAAACCCCAGAAAATAACAAATGCCGGTGAGGATGTGGAGAAATTGGAACCTTTGTGCAGTGTTGGCAAGAATGTAAAATTGTGCAGCTGCGCATTTCTTCAAAAAAATTAAAAATAGAATAATCATGATCCAGCAGTTCCACATCTGGGTATATACCCTAAAGAACTGGAAGCAGACCTTGAATAACTGATGTTCAGGGACTTCCCTGGTGGCGCAGTGGTTAATAATCCGCCTGCCAATGCAAGGGACACGGGTTCGAGCCCTGGTCCAGGAAAATCCCACATGCTGCGGAGCAACTAAGTCCGTGCACCACAACTACTGAGCCTGCGCTCTAGAGCCCGTGCACCTAGAGCCCGTGTTCCACAACAAGAAGCTCGCGCACTGCAATGAAGAGTAGCCCCAACTCGCCGCAACTAGAGAAAGCCAGCGCACAGCAACAAAGATCCAACGCAGCCAAAAATAAATTTTAAAAGAACTGATGTTCATAGCAGCATTATTCATAATAGCCAAAATGTGGAAGCAACCTGTAGTGTCCATTGATGGATGAATAAGCAAACAAAATGTGGTGTATACGTACAACAGAATACTACCTCAGCTTAAAAAGGAAGGAAATTCTAACATAGGCTACAACATGGATGAACCTGGAGGGCATTATACTAAGTGAAATATGCCAGACACAGAAAGATAAATCATGTATGACTCCACTTATGTGAGGTACTTAGAGTAGGTAAAATCCTTAATACCTTTCATAAACTAAGAATTTGTTGGTCTTAATTTTTCATAAGTATGGATTAGAGATTAGACTTGCTCTATTTTGTTTAGCTATAAAAGTCCTTATTTGGGGAGAGGAATTAATTATGCTGGATTATTTGGGCAAAAAGTATTAAACAATACTTGTTTAGTTGTGTATGGTGGAACTGCTAGTTTCTACCCCTTTATCCCATTACTGTAAAGAATTTGCTACCAAATATGGCTATATTACCAGTTCTTGGAATGAATTTCAACAGACAGGTATCAGTAAGGTATAAGCTGCCTTTTGGGAAAGAAAGCCATTATTTGTGTATGTGTGTGTATGGGGAAACTACTAGAGTTTAGCAAGTGACAGTTTGTAGAATTCTCGTATGGAATATAGTGATTCTGGATTCTCTACTGTATGTCCACCATCATGAGAAAGTTCATTTTTGTCCTGAAGGCTTTATTTTGTTTGTTTTCTGCCATGTGTTTTAAAAATATGAATTACTTCTAAGGGCAGAAGTGGAATAAAATGAGGGAATACTAGTGAGTATTGCTTTTAACATTTTTTTCCCCATCTATATGCTCTTTAAAAAAAAAATTATTGTGGTAAAAGACATATAAATTTTACCATTTAATGACATTTAGGTACATTCACAGTTTTGTGCAGCCGTCACCACTGTCTAGTTCCAGAACATTTTCATCACCCCAAAAGGAAACTACCTATTAAACAGTCAATGTGCTTTAAAGCTTAGCTGTTCAAATAACCTTAGAAAAGTACATTCTTTGGATGTTTGGGGGATTGATAGGTAATGGAAACTATGTCTGTTAACTCCTGGAATTTAACAATAATAATAATAATAATTACATCCATAAAATTAAAATCCAAATTTTAGATTTAATGTTGTAATTTTGAAAAAGACAAATGTTACTTTATACTTGTTCTATTTGGAAATTATTAGGATGTGACAGATAAATCTTCGAATTGGCAGGTTGTACTTCTAGGATGTGATTTGTTTCATTAAGTTCGTGTCATACAAATGTTATAAAGTTTCACACTCAAAGAATTATTTTGGCTAATCAACAACCACAGAAAAATGTGACTTGCAAGTCTTCAGCAAACAGATAATTTTCTGTTCTATAATGCAGTGAATGTGTCAAAAAATCTCCAATCTTGGTTTCTTTTTAAGCACAACGTGGAAGTTCTTGGAATCCTTTCTGATGATGTAGAAACTGATTCTGTAGCCCCAGGTGAAAACCTCAAAATCAGACTGAAAGGAATTGAAGAGGAGGAGATTCTTCCAGGGTTCATACTTTGTGATCCTAATAATCTTTGTCATTCTGGTCGCACATTTGATGCCCAGGTAAACCAATTGTTGTAATTATTATGATGATGTTCACTGTCTAAATGAAACTAGAATTTAATTCTCCTTTGTCCTGATTATTGGTGACATGCCATTGTGTGCAGAAGGGGAACTAAAATAGAATAAACCATATATAGAGATCACAACTGTGATGTATATCTCATACACATAAAGTCTTTAAGATGGTACAAGTACTGGGTAGGTAGTATGCTTTGTAAGTTCCCTATTTATTTCCTGTTGATAATATATATTGATACTTACATTTTGCTCAAAGTGTTTTTCACTTTAAGTAGAGAGTAGTTGCTGTGGAAGTCATGGTTTGTCTGTTCATTCAGAGCAAATAACTTTCCAGACAGAAAAACACACATAATTTCTCGATGTTATTAGCAACCTGACCTCCCCAGGACAATGAAAGAGTAAGTGATTGGTACAGCTCGCAGAATTTTTGAGTTCTAAGATACGATGACTAATCAAGTTAGATTTTGATGTCAGATACAAGGTTGTTAACTTTGGACCTTGGATACTGGGAAACGGATAAAACTATAAGTTCACATCTAGGAGGAAAAAACCTAGCATGTGAGCAGCAATGATTAATTCCTTGGTGGGGAGTATAGAGGAAAGCCTTCCCAGAGAAGAAAGTCTGCCTGTGTCTTTAAAGTTTGTGTGCTTGCCAAGAAGATCAGTGAGGTAAGGATACAAAGTTCATGCTTGGAGGTAAGGCAACCTGATCCAACACAAAAATAAGTTGGTGCCCTACTGAGATTGTGAGTTACACATTCAATTCTTTTTTACCTAGGGATAAAGATGTGAATTTTTTTGTTTGACAGATAGTGATTATAGAGCACAAATCCATCATCTGCCCAGGTTATAATGCGGTGCTGCATATCCATACCTGTATTGAAGAAGTCGAAATAACAGTGAGTTTTAAGATAACTGAGGTTTTTGTTTTAAGACCATTTCATCTTGATAATTTTTGATCAGCAACAGTGATGTATTCTTATTTGCACTTCTAGTATTAAAGATTTTTATTTGACATTATTCCAATCTCATCCTTTTTTCTTGGATAGGCCTTAATCTGCTTGGTAGACAAAAAATCAGGAGAAAAAAGTAAGACTCGACCCCGCTTTGTGAAACAAGATCAAGTATGCATTGCCCGCTTGAGAACAGCAGGAACCATCTGCCTTGAGACCTTTAAAGACTTCCCTCAGATGGGTCGTTTTACTTTAAGAGATGAGGGTAAGCCTTTAAATTGATGTCTAGTGTTATATCTAAGATGCTTAGCTTTGGTAATCTTCATCTGAGTGCAGCGCACATTGCAAGTTCATAGGAAACTTGGATACTTGTTTTATAATATATAATAAATGTTTTATGAGTTGAATGAGTTGAACAGCAGACAGACTTGACAACACATCTTAGTAGTGATGCTCTAGATGAATAATCTTAATTTTAATATTTTGCAAGCAGTGGATTTTGAGAGTCATTTTATTTATTACTAAATAAGACATTTCTATGATGAAATCCTCTGTAATATGTGTGATTAAAACTCATATTGGGGCTTCCCTGGTGGCGCAGTGGTTGAGAGTCCGCCTGCCGATGCAGGGGACACGGGTTCGTGCCCCAGTCCGGGAGGATCCCACATGCTGCGGAGTGGCTGGGCCCGTGAGCCATGGCTGCTGAGCCTGCGCGTCTGGAGCCTGTGCTCCGCAACAGGAGAGGCCACAGCAGTGAGAGGCCCGCATACCGCAAAAAAAAAAAAAAAAAAAAAAAAAACCCTCATCTTGAAGGACTCTATCCTGTAGAGAAAATTTTTACTAAGCAAGCCTCTGAGGTAGACATCTTTTTTTATGCTCAGAAGAAATCATTTTAAAATCAAATATGATAAACATTAACCACATCGAAATGGGGGGAGATAAAAGGGGTACATAGATTGATAGTCTTAACACCTAATATTTCAGAAGTTTAATATTCATGTTCTTTTGTGTGTGTGTCCATTTCTGCCTATCTGAGTGGATTGGAACAGCTGTAATTTTCTTATCTCACAGCCATGAAACTCTGGTATTATGGAAACAAAATGACATTTCTCTATAGATTATTATATTAACTTAGATAACTTTTAAGACTATGGAAAACTTTACATAAAACTTCATGGTTCACTTGAAATATAGAATAGTCAGTTCACATATTAGTTCCAGTTTCATTCAGCAGTAACTTTACTGTATATCTACTGCATGGCAGGAGCCATGCCAAGCACTGGGAATATGATGAATATGGTCCCTGAGCCTTATTTTGGAGAAATCTGTGTAAAGGTGGTATCCATTTGAAGTCATTATCTTAAAACTCTTCTTGGTGAAACTGGTTACTGGGTTTGTCCCATTAATATAACAAAACGAGAATTTTAGTTACCTGATAAAATCAGGCAGAAGAAATTAATGTAGCAAGAATTTTTAACCCGAGAATTTTTTTTCTTTCTAAAGAGTAGTTGGCTTTTAGGTTTTTCACAAGATCTACATGGGTTTTCTATCTCTTATAATAGGACTGAGAGCCCTGTTTAACAGCTTTTAATGAGATAATTTACATACCATGAAATTGACCTGTTTTAAGTATACAATTCAGTGAATTATATGTTTACAGAGTTGTACAGTCATCCCCGCATTCTAATTTTATAACATCTAGAACGGAACCCTAATACCTGTTCACAAAGTCACCACCTATTCCCACCCCTAGCCTTAGGCAACCATAAACCTACTTTTTCTCTCTGTTTGCCTTTTTTGGGACACGACATATAAAATAGAATCATATAGTTTGTGGCCTTTAGTGTCTAGTTTATTTTACTCAGCATGTTTTTGAGCTTCAGTCATGTTGTGGCTTGTACTGTATGTAATTCATTCCTTTTTATTGCCAAATAGTATTCCATTGTACGGATATCCACATTTTACTTCTCCAAGCATAGATTTTTGAAAGAAAATCATATCTTCAGTTCCCCTCCATTAATCAGAAATCATGTCTTTGATGGTAAAGCCAGTTAGTCATTTACATTGTAAAATAATGATTTAAAATATGATTTAAAATAATAAATTTTAATATCTTACATAGCCTTGCTGTTAACTACTGAAAAGGTTTTTTAAAAATTTCATTTCTAGGTAAGACCATTGCAATTGGAAAAGTTCTGAAACTGGTTCCAGAGAAAGACTAAGCATTTTCTTGATGACCCTGCACAATACTGTGAGGAAAACTGACTGCAAAAGCCTACTTCACACCGCCTACTCTTATTTTCTGCCCATTGACAAACCTCTCCCCATGTTTTGCAAAGACAAAAATTCACAGCAAAAGTCCACATATGTCAGCTTTCTCATATTGAGAGCTCTGCTATGCCACTGTTGAATTTTTCCCAAGATTTTTTTCTTCCCCTCTCAAACTCTGCTTCCTTGGACAGATTTGGCAATAGCTTTGTAAGTGATGTGGACATAATTGCCTACAATAATGAAAACCTACCAGGAATTTTTTAATTTTTCATTTCCCTTAGGCATACTTAGTCTTTTTTTCCCCCAGGCAGATCATTCTGAGTGTGCGAGTGTGTGTGCACATGTTACAAAGACAACTACCATGTTAATAAAATATTCAATTTGAAACCCTTTTCGGTATTTGAATTGCTTTTGAATAATGTTTTTTATCTGGATGTAACATTGTTGCATTAGCTTTTTAACTTTACCAAGTAATTGAGTACATTTTATTACTTGGACTTTTCTAAACTTTCCTTATCCACTACTTTAAATGAGGCATTTACAAACAATGTTCAAGTTTGTATTAAAAGAAAGAATTAGTTTGACCCCATTCTTTTGATGGTTAATGCATACATACAGTATCTTTATGCAACTGTGACACTGCTTTATTAGGTCTACCAGTTTCTGCCAATTTATATTTTAACATGATTTCTTAAACACAGTAAGTGGTTTTAAAATACAAGAACAGCATACTGTAGTTTTTATAAGTATAAAGCATAATAAAATTGTACCCCTACGAAAAATTCCATTAACTTGTTAAATTAATGGAATTTACAATAAAGACAGCATGTTGAGACGTGGCAGAAATGCCTCCTTTAGTATTTATAAGAGCTGCATGCATCTAATATGAAAACTGTATCAACTGCAAGTGCCAGTTCTACAAATTACTCAGTTTATTGTTTGTATTAGTAATTTTAAAGGCTGGATGATTCTTGCTGATTAAAGCTAAATCTCATCCAGCAACTAAATGAACATATTTTTAGAACCATCAGAATCTGCACAGACTAAAGTTAACAGTGATAAATAGAATCAAGCACAGTGTAAGTTTTTCTCAATTTTTCGAAATTGACTGTTTTCTTGAAATTTGCTAAATTATGATTTGGATGAACCGCAATGCAGCATTGTGGATTTTAGATCAAAGGCTGACTTTCTGTTAAAACTGTGTCACAACTTTGAAATTTTTTAATGAGAATAAATGGGAAATGGAGGGGACACTTTCTGGGTTTATTGGATGCCCCCTTTATCAAAGACTTGGCCTCTTTTAGATTGGTTTATCTCTAAATAAGATACTTTGTAATTGTGTATTTAATGACATGTCCCTTCCATGTAATCATCTGCCTCAGAAAAGAAAAGCCTAGTCAGACTGTATTTCCAGTCACAAAACATAAAAATTAATCTAATCCTGTTTTCTTAACTGTAAAATTCCCATTCATTTCATGAATGAGGCCACATCTTATGGACAGAGCATAGTTACTGTCCTCCAGCTTCCTATAACTATACTCATGGCTATTAAAACTGCATGAAATTTAAATAAAATTTATTATGTCTGCAAATCTCTGGGCTTTTATTTTTCTGGGATATGTGGGAGCTTTAATCAGTGCATAGTAACTCTTTTTCTACTTCCAAGTTATTAAGAACAAAATACTAGCAATTGCTTGGATTTTAATGAATCTTTAAAAGCTCAAGAGTCATTGAAATTAATTCCAGAGATAGATTTCCATTTTTAAACTGAACACATTTTTTAAAAAACAGTTATGTTTGCTATTAAAACATTTACACTTTTAGGATATTATGTGTATGTTGCCAAGACTCAAGTAAAATGACATGGATATCAACTGTTAAGGGCCTACCTCTAAAAAAAAAAAAAAAAAAAAAAGGATAATTATGAAATAAAATTCAATGGATTCTTGTATATTTATGCAAATAAGATTATTTAGAAGAAACCTCATTGTTAACCAACACCATACATTTTTATGGGCTTTTAAGTTCTTTGGGAAGAATGCTCACTTAAACTTGATGCATTTTAAACTCATTACACTGCCTGGTTACTTGGATGGGCAAATATAATGTCTGAAGTGAACTGGGAGTGTGTGGAGATGTTGGACCTTTAAAAAGCAATACAGATTCCTACGCTGTCATTTTGTCTTCTGTAAGTACAAACGTGTTTACATTGTTGACAAGGCAAAAATAGGGTAATTGGCTGTAGACTTAGGATATTACAGACCTAAACATTTTTTTCCTCTTTAGCATAGATATGTTAGAATCACAATTTTCTTTGCATTAATGATGTTCTTTATACAGCTTTCATGATATATTATTTAATTATAGTTTTTTAAATTAATGAAATGAATTTAAGAAAGATACTGAAATAAACATCTAAGTAATGGCCATTTTAAATCCTATTTCTTACTGTGGGAGAAGGGGAAATACAGCATTTGCTTCTTGTTTTTAATTTGCAAACAACTCATCCAATGAAAATTATGTAAAATCAAACCAAAAGAGATGGACTGAGTATATAATGCCACGAAACTAAGTGACAAATAGTAAAGTGTTCTTGGGTAAATAAGCCCATGTATATTTGTTTTGAATTGAAATGTGATAATTGAATGTAAAAATTTTGTAAATTATAAAAGGATACAGGTTGTTCACTGTAACAAGGTAATTCATACTTGTCTGCTAGTTACATAAACTACAAGAACTGCTTTTACAATATGGGATGGACTTTGAACGTGATGCAACTGAACAGTTACAGGCATCCTCAGCTGAAGTACTGCAGATACTCTGGGTCATACTTTCAACCAGCCGCAGTTTTGCAACCCAAGAAAAAGGTGAACTTATGGTCGAAAACTGCTTCCATGATGAATTTTTGAAAAAAATCAACTAAACTCCCTGGCAATCTTCAGAAAACACTAGTTACGACTGTAATTACTCTGTGGTCTTTGATGGCTGTTCCACATGACAGCACTCTAGCACCTTTCCTCATTGGCATGGACTTCCTTGTGGACCGCTGCTTCGTGGATGACAGCTTCACTGCTTTGGGTAGGAATTTAAGGTAGTCAAGGGACAGTTTTTATTGTAGCTCTTAACGTCACGCAACTTTCAGCTTTTAAAAACCCTTTGTGAAAATTCTGGTAACAGCACTATAGCTCTGACTGTAGGATGACTAAATTTTCAGCGTTGGCCTATCTTATCAGAATAAACTGTGCCATTAATCCTCTCACAGACATATACACTTAAGGTAGATAGCAATCAACAGAATTTAGGGGACGATTTTCTGTCTCCAAATAATATGGCTTATATTTCCTCCAGCTAATTTTTCAGTGATTATAGCAGATGCCATCTAATACATTTATGATCTTGTTTCTTTCTCTAGAAATCTTGCCATGGCAGCAACTTGTTATATAAATGTAATTACACATGCACAACTGAGTTCAAAAACCTAGTAGGTTTAACTTTAGCAGTCAGTTGGTTATATTAGATTTCATGGTAAATGGAATAGGAAGTGTTATTTTCCTGTAGTTCAGTGGATTCCATTTGAACCAGTTTACTGCCAAATTTCAGGTAGGGTAAATATGGTTCAACTTGTGATGGTTTTGGCTCTAGGATATTCTTAATTTTCAATATGCTAGAACATATTGAGTCTTCCTTTCAGTAAATACACTTTTCACATACCTCTAATCCTATGCTTCCTTGAAACAGTAATATGCTAGCTGAGTTGTTTACTAAGAAATGTTTTAAGGGCCTGGAGGTGTGGGAGTGTTGGGAGTGTTCTCCAAAATAAGGGAGAAGCAGATAGGCACCATGTCTGATTAGGCAGAAAATTAGGCAGGATTTCTTCATCAATTCTCAGAATGGTAATTGTCTTTTCTGCCTTGCCACACATGCCACTGTGCCCTTTAAACCTCAGGTTTGTGGACAGCAAAGGTAGAATTACATTTTGTGCTTCCTGAGGCTACCCTCTGCCAGGCACATTACCTTAGTGCTTCAGATGTCAGCCCAAGTCCCTGCTACCTCCTTTCCTGCTTCCCCGGAAAGAGTGTCTGTGCTGGAGCTGGAGCTCCTGCACTCCTCAGGTGACCATCCACATGCATTAGGTGAAACTGAGGTCTGAGTCCAGAAGGTCTATATCTTAAGGACTCACATGGGGCTCTCAGAAATTGACACACCTCTTAGTTAACTACTTTCTTCTCTTTGCTCTAAAACAAATGTGGCTCTCTCTCAGGCCAGGATTTAGTGACTAGTTTTCACTAGACAGCAGGTTAATACCTAGCTCTCATTTTTTAAAAAGCAGAATTAAAGGGAACTGATTAGGTTTGCTGGGTTTTTAACTAATTCCAAAGCATGGCAGAATGCTCTAGGTAGGAATTACAGGAATCCAAGGTAAAGAAACCTTTTTCTTATGATTTGTAGCTACCTACTGTGCCTGACTTGGTGCCTGTGTGAGGATTAAGCCCTTAGTCTGCTCTTGCAATTATTCAAATGACTGAAGTTAAAAAAATTTGCTTTTTATAAAGCAGAAACTAACACACCATTGTAAAGCAATTATACCCCAATAAAGATGTTAAAAAAAAATTTGCTTTTGTAATAACAATAAAAATTGTCATCTTCCCTTTTGAAGGATTTGTCTCTTTATATCACCTGTATTGTATCATACACTGAGTGAACCTGTTTTCTCTACAATGCTCAATGTCGTGTTTGGGCATCAGACCACACATAGGCACGGTACTGCAGTGTGTACAAGATTTTACACTTCATGGCCTGTGGAACCAGTTTCAGATACACAAGTTCTCTCTATCAATGTATCTTAAAGCAGAAAAATAGCATCAGTACCCTGGATGTTGTAGCTTTGTAGTGAAGAACTGTATCTCCCAGTCTAGAATAAATGATGGCCAAATTACAATGAAATAAGTTGTATTCTTTGAGTTTAGAGAAGAGTGAGGCTACTGATAATATGTCTACTGGCAAAATAGATTAGCTAGAGAGGGCATAATGGAAGAAAACATATACTGAACTTGCTTTGCACCCTTATTTGTGATTATATTTAGGTTGAGATTTCACCCCTCTGAATTGAGTAGTACAATCCTCCTAAAGGACTTTGTTTGCTTCCAAACTACACAAGTTACTTAGAACAAAAGCAATCTCCACCATCTTTGCTATTTCCCTGGAAAATACACTAAGTTTTAGGGTGAGAAAGCAATTTTGAAAGGATTAGGTTCGTAGGAGTAATTACTGTTTTAAAGAAGGTCCAGCAAACAGAAGGTGTACACAAGAGTGTTTTTTTATTAAGATAAAGCTTGCATACAGTGAAATGCACAGATCTCAAGTTTACAACGAGTCTGTCAAGTGTATACAATTATGTAAACACCCCCATCAACATATAGAACATTTTCATCACTACAGGAAGTTTCTTTCTGCCTGTTTCCAATCCATCCCTTCCTCCTGCCAAGGCAATCACAGTTCTGCCAGAGATTAGTTTTGCCTGGTTGTTTTTTTTGGCCTCACCTTGTGGCATGTGGGATCTTAGTTCTTCCCGGACCAGGGATGGAACCAGCACCCCCTGCAGTGGAAGAGCAGAGTTTTAACCACTGGACCACTGGGGAAGTCCCAGTTTTGCCCATTTATGAACTCCACATAAATGGAATCATATTATGCACCCAATTGTCTTTTTTTTAAGCATGTTTTAGAGATTAACCCACATGTCTTAACAGTTTATTCTCTTTATATTTGCTGGGTAATAATTTTATTTGATGTATATCCCATAAATTTTTGTCCGTCCTTGAAAATTTTAATTTTGTTTTCCAATTAGGATTTTTTCTCCTGTTGGTTGCAAATACAAACAGCCTCGTTTGAATTTATCATTAGAAATGCAAATGAGTAAATAAACCAGAGAGAAAAGCTTTACTTCTTCTCCCTTTATCTGCTTTTGTAAAGCTGTTACCAAACAGAAACAGACTATTTAGCCTCCCCAAAGGTGAAAAAACGTGAGCTCCCTTCTGATCTCCCTATCAGTCTTGAGTGCTTGCTTCACTCTGTTCCCTTTGATGTGCCCTGTCAATTATAAAACTGGATTGTCCCTATCACACTTTCATGTTGCTAGAGGCAAATTCACCTGACTTGTACCTCTACTGATTAACTCTTTTAAACCTCAGGGCTAAGTCCTTGTTTTCTTTTTTGGTAGATTTATTTTATTAAATTACATGTATGAATAACTTTTAGAAGTTCTTTTATTGATCCCTTATTGATGACCTAGCATAATACTTTCAGTGGCTATTGAAAACCTTCCTAATTTGAGTAAAGATGCACTTTGAACTGTCAGTAACATTCACCAGTTATATACTGGTATGGTTAAAAGAACACAGTCCTCCAAGAAGTTGTCAGCTGCTTATCTTCAAAGATAAAAGATGATCAGTGGTACTGAAAACGCTTTTTCTTTTTAAAGCCTAGAGGTCACTTTTTAAAATAGCCTTAATGGGACTTCCCGGTGATCCAGTGGCTAAGACTCCACGCTCCTAATGCAGTGGGCCCGGGTCAATACCTGGTCAGGGAACTAGAT